TTATTATGTTATGATTGGTTTATGAGTTTTTGCACATGACCTCGCCATGAGGTCATGGGTTTCGAGCATGTGACCACTTTGGTGGTATGACTAGTTTGTTATGATTTGGTTTCGCACATGTGACCACTTCAGGTCACATGACTATGAGCTGGAAGAATACAATATAAGGAGGCTGATGCGACCAAGGAGGATAGGTTCTTCACGCTTTGTTCTAAGTACTTTTCCTACTTATTACTTTAAACGAATATAAAACACTTTTACAATCTTTATCTTTATTGTAACGTTATTGTTACGCCAATGAAGGTTCTTCATGAAGATGAGTTAGAGAAAGCTTACAATAGGAGTTCCGGATAGAAGACAAAGGTCTTGTACTATCAGTAACGTAGGTGGAGGCATAGAACTATCGTAAGACCACCAAAGGACAAGACAGAAACAAGAAGTATTATTCCCCGTCCCCAATAACTAACAGTCTAAAGAGGGATCATTACATGCGGTTAGCTTTTAATTACATTTTTCAGAATTAATCTACTGTTGATATTGGTGGAAATGTGATTTTGATTGATTGTTGAATGCAATAATAGTTCCTGTAAGTTAGTATTATTTTGTTGTAATAAGCAGCAGTTTTAACTATTGGAAACCCTTATGATTAAAGTTAAGAGATTAAATTAAATATAGCGATCTTGTTTTTATTGAATAATCAATAATCGATCTTAATACTAAAGTTAATACCTTAAGTAATATAACTACACTTAATAATATTAAGGTGACATATCTGGTTTATATCACAATTGTGAGAAGATAATTGTTATCTAATATTCTAAATACAAATACTGAAATTGCCTCATAATTACTAATATCTTGATATAATTAGTACAGTACCTTAAATACAAATGTTTGATAAACATTATTGCAGTATTCTAATAGTAGTAATATAATTAGCACTTGCGGAGAAAGATTGCTACCTACCTCTTTATATTACTATGATAGTTATAGAAGTCCTATTCTGAGAGCATGTTATTCGTAAAACTACCAGAAATGTACTATAGTAATACACCTACTCTTGTAGTATAATAGTAGTACCACTACTATGAAACTATAATAGCTGTACATCAACTTTGACATAATAATAGTTGTCCAACTACTATCAAGTATTACTGCAATTCAACTAACAGAAAGGTATAGTTGAAGTACAACTGCAATAAAATTCTAGTAGTTTGATCAAGTCTGTAAAGCTATAGTAGTTAGTGTAAGTAATATAGAACAATAGTAGTTAGTCCAACTCTGCAAAGCTAAAGTAGTTAGTCCAAGTACTTTAAAACTACTATAGTTAGTTCAAGCACTGTAAAATTATAATAGTTAGTACATGTACTCTAAAACTATAGTCGTTAGTGTATGTACTATAAAACTATCGTAGCTAGTAAAACTCTGTAAAACTATAGTAGTTAATACAACCACTGTAAAATTGTTGTAGTTAGACCAAGAACTGTAAAACTATAGTAGTTAGTAAAAGTACTATACAACTGTTGTAATTAGTACAACTCGTATAAAAGTGTAGTAGTTAGTACACTGGTATAAAACTATAGTTATTAGTACAAGTGGTAGTAACCTATAGTAGTTTGTTCTTCTACTTTAAAACTATGGCAGAGAATACTACTACCATAAATGTATACAAGGAATAAAGAAATAATTAGCTATGTTGTTTTAATAAGTTCTTAATAGAGTTAGTAGTTTATAATATTTAGTAATAGGAAGGTGATTACTTACTATAATATTTCCTATATTTTATATTATTATTATTTTTATTTTTATTATTCACATGTAATTTTAATTTTCTAATTTTTATTTAATTAGTCCAATTTCTCACAATATGTGAAAATTGAGTGAGAAGATATGACTTACTATTGGGCTCATTTATATTTATTTAATTTGTTAAGGTTTTGTATTTAGAATAATTACTGACCATTTGAGAAAATTGAGTGTGTACCAATAGATGAGCTGCTGGACGACGTCCGCTAGACGATTA